TTCTTACCTGCTTCTAATTCATATTATCTTTATAAATCATATTCCGTTATTAAGGTTCCTTTTCACAAAACATTCTCATTCTCTTCTGTCTATCTGAACTGCATATTTATTTAAAAGCAATTTAGCTGGTCCCAAGGCTACTTTCCCATTGATTCACGATTTAATTTAGATATGACCTTACCCAAGATACAACCTAATTAAAAAAATATATTTTAAGTTATTTTGGGCAGTGTGATTGCTCCAAAAATTTATTTGATGTGTGGGTTTCTGTTTATAACACTTCTTTGAAGTGCAAAATCCTTGAAACACCTGCCTTGATGTTCTCTGATGAATTAAAAGAAATTATGTAAGTGTAAGTACTTCCTCGCTTACTTAGGGTCCCTTGTTGAGTTAGCTAGTTTTGGAATTATTGGAACATATATGTCACTTTTAAAGGACACTGGCTTGTACCTCAAACTTCAGAAAGTCTTATTTCACAATACAAAATGTGTTTCAAAAGAGTTGCTAATGACATTATAATTTCACCTATTTTTGATTGTCTAAGGTAAGGAGGGGTCAACTAGCACCACAATTTTGTAGAAAAGCTTTGAAACACTCTTGCAGAAAATAAGTTTCTATAATGAACTGTACTGATCCTAGAATTAAGAATAATAGCAAATCCTTCAAATAACCTAACTTAATATTATGTATGTTAATAAATAAAATGTAGTTCAGTCTTTCCTACAACAAACTACATATCAGTATATTAAAAAGAAAGCTATTGTAATTTTTTCTCAGTGACCTTGTGAAATCTCTTTTCTACACTTGGCCCCATCATGGACCAGAAATAGCATTATGATTCAGCAGGGGATTGAAAGGGAGGAACAACTGACAATGTTGTCCTGACAATGCTGAACTTCATCTGAGCCTGTGTGTTCCTGGAAAGTATCAAAGGTCTGGAAATCCCCGCCACATTTTGTATTCTGAGAAATGACCACTCTGCTCTCACATATTCCAAGATCAGGCCCACCTCTACCCTTCCCCAGTGAATGTGACTCACTTGCATACCTGGCTCTTTGAAGCTCTTGACCTCCTTCCTTTTCTTTGAGGTGTTTCTCATTAATAAATGCCCTTTCTATTGCAGTAAACTGAAAAAAAAATCATCATCTTAAATGTCCAGTGCATTTTGTTTTTCATGGTTTCTTTAAAAGAGAGAAAAAAAATTATGTCTAAGTTATTTGTTAAATCCAGGAAAGAAAAAATTTGCAGTTGGAAAAGCAAGACACTTGAGTGTGATAGAGTGTTTTAAAGCAGTGTTTACGGAGAAAGACTAGGTGGCTCCATTCCATAAATGAGGTAGTTGGAATATAACATTGCCTGCTTTGCCTAAGGCCTTGCCAAAAAATAACAGCAGCACCAGTACAGAATTGATGTTGAAATAGCAGTTTTCATGTCACTTCTTTCTCTTGCTTCTTTGAGGGTGTTGTTTATTTTCATTGAAATGTTGATCATAATAATGGTTATAGAAATAAATATAAGTAGATGTAATTCTTTCTCTAATTTATCTCCATGTTAAAAAAATTGTATGTACAGGGGTGTGTGTGTGATTTGAACAGGCTTATAAGTGGCACAATAAGGAACAATAGATCTTACTCCATGAAGATTAACCCACCTGCAATAGATCTTACTCCACGAAGATTAATGCAGTCACAAGTTAGTTATGATTTTGTAGCAACTCATATGCAAATATTTGCAATCTCAGTTACTCTCTTACTTAGAAAGATGGCAAAGGTTTGCAGTGGTGATAGCAGTCACGGAAAGAAGCAGGTTTTCAATACATAGGAATGCTTTAATGTAAGTATTTTAGACAATGCAGAAACTTCCATTATGAAAAGGGAATGCCAGCAGACATATATAAGAAGGCTCTGCTTCATGGGGAAAATGAACTAAAAATTTAAAAGGTTCTTCAATTACAGTAATCTACACCTCAGAGCTTCTAGGCAGACCCATGAGTGAGTCTGACATGGTGGGTTCTAGTTGCAGACAGGGATTCTTCTAAAGGAAATAAGTGCAGAAATTTGAATATGGCTAGACATTTCATTTTATCGAAAATAATTTTACTTCTAAATGTTCTTTACATTGTTAGTTGCAACCCATTTGTAATAGCATACAATAGGAAATGACAATAATGTCCTACAGGACGAGATAGGTTAAGTAAACTATGGTGCACCCATTCAGTGGACAACTCTGCAGCATATAAAAATCAGTTTTCAGGAAAAAAGACATGAGAAGTTGTTTAGAATGCAGAGAAGAAAATCTGGCTACAAATAGACACTTTACCCAACACAATGTAAGTTCAATACGGGGAGGAGCCACGTCCATCTTTCGTTACTGTATCCCCAGCAGATAGTGCTTGATACAAGTGCTTAAATTAATAAACACAAGTGTTGACAAAAGGGTTCCATTTGAAAAAATGTAAATGATGTACAGAAAACCTCTAAGAATGTACATTAAAATGTTAATTCTGGGTAGATGAAATTTTTTTTTTTTTTTTGCCAGTTGGTATTTAAAAATTATTTTTAATAATGAAGCTTTATTTTCTAACCAGAACAGAAACAATAAAACTAAGTTAAAATATACAATTTCATGGGTTTTCCAAAGTAGTTCCTATAAAATAGCCCATTTCTATATTTAGGCAGTTTACAGAGCTAGCTGGCTTCTTCTTAATCATAGAAAGCAGCTTATTTTCTGAAATCCTTGCATTTTATCCAGGCTTATCCCTCAGTGAACAATCATGCACAGTCTGTTCCGGATTGTGATGAGTAAATGAAGTGAAAATCAAAATGAGGTAACTCTTATATGCTGTCTTCACTCTCATATTTTTCAGGTAAACTGTGGTTTCAATTCTTCTTGGAGTAAGAAGCGAACAGAAATCTTGTTGCTACCAAGAAGAAATGAAGCTAATGGGAAGAGCCCTCTCTTCACCGTCTTCACAAGCCACCAATCTCGAGAGAAGAAAACTGGCAAAACTCCTAGGAGCTCATTCCAAACGCTCTGATAATTCCCTTGAGCAGTAAACATATTTTCCTTCTCAGTGTTAGACGTACATTACTGAAGAATACAATGCCTGTATTGCTAGCCATTAACAAAAGTTATGTTTGATTGGCTAACAACTGTGCATTCATGCTCCTCCAGAGGAATGCCAAGTGTGTGGGTGTGATAGAGACCCATTCTCCTAGACTAGATTGCCAAATGTATTCAGTGATGCGTTTGATTCAAAACAAGGAAATGAATATGCCCAGGGGAAGCATTCGACATATTGAATGTTATACCTCAAAGTATATGAAAAAAAACAGAAGAGCCCGAAGAACCTGAGTATTGGATGACGAGAACAGTGGAGATTTATTCTGTTCATTTGTATATTTGTCCCTTTTTAAACATCTGGTTTTGTCAAAATCAGAAATGTAATGCAATTGTAGTGCTTGGCTAAATAATAGCTACAAATTCCTGGCCATCTAGGATATTAATCTGTGCTGTATTTTGAAAATATAATCCTACCAAAATACTACTAGTAAATCAAACTTAAAACCCATTAAATAAATAGTTTTTTAAAAGTTTATTTATGGTCTATCTACAATGAAATGGAGAAGGGTTTTAATACATTATATTAGCTCATTTTCACAGAGTATCCTGTAAAAATATAATCCTTGGGAAGTTTCAAAAGAACTGGAAAAGTTGTATTAAGAAAATAGAATGAAGTATCCCAGAGTTAGCCTGCTTGTGAGGGAAGTCATAATAGAAAAATAATTTTCCTTTTAATATTTTGTACCCAGGTGGAAGATACTTTTCTAGAACCCTCTGTGATTCACAACAGAGAACCAAAACCAATGTTATTGGTTTAAAAAGCAGAAAGTTTTGTCTCTTCACCTGGTGAAAAATAATTCAAATCATTTTGATTTACTTTATGGTGAAATAAAAGGAAATACACTGAAAGTAATACACCATTTAATTTATTTCTCTTAATTCAATCCCAGCAATCAAAATAGGTATGGGAGTATTTCCTGCCAAGGGCTTTTCTTTAAATTGAATCTTATTCAGAAAATACTCAAAAAAAAAGCATGCACACTGCCGATCTGCAAAATGAACACTGATCACAGGAGGTTTCTCTACTTAGCAAACAGTTATTTAATATCCACTTGACCTGGTTTACTTGGTTCAACCAAAGATATTAAGGATTACCATGGGATAAATACATTTTGTTCAGTTTTTTCACTCAATACAATACCTGGAAGCATCTCCAGTTGTTTATCAATTGAGAGTCCACATCCCTTTGGAGATGTTCTTTTCCTTTCTTTGGTAACCCCCTTTCAGAACTCACACAAGACAGTGTACATACCTCTATTTTAACATTCGTTACATGTGTTATAGCTCCAGTTCACTGCTCCTGTTGGCTATGCGCTTAGAGAAGGCAGGAATGCTATTTCATATTCATTTTTTCAGTACATAACACTTAGTAAAGTACCTGGCACACACAGGTGGTCAATAAACATTTGTTGAATAAAGTGATTAATTAAAAACCTCTAAAAAGTTGTGAAAACAATACATCGTCTACAAAATGCAAGATGTTATTATTGATGACTGATGTATTAATTTAACATTAGAATGAGAAGAATGAGTGGAAATTTAGCTTCCCCTCTCCACTTATGCTCATAAATATATGAAACAATATTTATTTATTTATTTATATTTATTTATTTATTTTATTTTTTGAGATGGTGTTTCACTCTGTCACCCAGGCTAGAGTGCAGTGGCGCAATCTCAGCTCACTACAACCTCTGCCTCCCACGTTCAAGTGATTCTCCTGCCTCAGCCTCACGAGTAGCACAGACTACAGGTGCATGCCACCATGCCCGCTAATTTTTGTATTTTTAGTAGAGACAGGGTTTCAACGTGTTGGCCATGCTGGTCTTGAACTCCTGACCTCAAATGATCTGTCCACCTCAGCCTCCCAAAGTGTTGGGATAACAGGCATGAGCCACCGCACCGGGCCTGAAACAATATTTAAATAAGAATAAAGACTTGACTGGAGAAGGAGATTGGAGATCCTTCACAGGATTCTTGACTGTGTGAGTGCAGGTGATACTACCTCAATGTAGGTATTCTTACCTAAGGATGGTTGAGCTCTGGTAGATAACCAGGCACTTGGCTGGCAGTAAGAAACCAAATATCCTTGAATTATTGTTTAGAGTCCAGCTTTCTTCCCTAGTTAAATAAAGAACATTTCATGAAGAAAGAAGGAGGGTTCACATGAAGTAGTTACAAAGCCCTTCCCAATGGAAGACTGTTTTTCCCATAATACACATGCCTGTGACTCTTATTTATGGAGTCCAACTTTTCTAGGGCCTAAACTCTTTCTTAGATATAAATAAGTCAGCTTTCAAATTCTCATTAGGGCAGGAGAGGCAACTGGCTCTTTCCCAGTTCCATCTAGGACTACCCACCTCATATTCAAGAGTTTTGTTTCGAAACATCGTCTGGCTTCAAAGTTGTATACATGTGAAATTCCCCTTCATACATACACACCCCAGTAAAACAAATTAAATAAAATGTACACAACGGGGAATAAAATCCTAGAATAGGTGTCAATGACGTGGTTGTTTTCCAGAATGATTCTACCAACATGTCCTCCTAGGGATTTTCTTCTCTTTATCCGAGTTGAATCGGTGCTGGGGCTGCGTATCGATTTTCTTCTCATGAAGTCTTCTGAGTTTAGAGAGAGGGAAGTCTGGTCCATGTCAATCTCGCTGTCATGGTAACAACCATTGAAGGCCATGGCTTGAACTGCATCAATATTGTACATCCTAGAAATCTGTCAAAAAAAAATTTTTTAAGTAGGTCTTGAATATGGTTTTACAAATAGGAATTACAGTAAATAATGTTAATAAAGTTAAATATGATTTATCAGAACAACAATATAAGCCAATTGGATTTGTTTTTCAACTTATTTTTCCTCTTTGTAGAAAATATAGCAGTATCCTCAGTCACTGTGTATATATTTTTTGGTCCAAAACTAAAACCATGTCATCGGTGATCCATTTATGCTTGGGGATAGGATAAGGAAAGATTTTAGCTGCTCCATTCAAATGCAAATTAGCCGGGCCTTCCCATTTTTGCTTAAGAGCACCTATAAATGATCCTAACATAGCCCAATTAAACAACACAGAATTGGTTTATTTTTCTGAAGGAACAAATTATCAATGCTTTCTGGCTCCAGTGCCTGATTGAATCAAAACTAAAATTTTCTTTAAGGTTTCACTCTGAGGAAGATAGCAGTTCTCACTAGTTTAGAGCCGTGTCTACAAAGCAGCTGTTACTAATTGCTATTGGAGAAAACAAAATCACTTCTTGATTCATAGGGAAGTTCAAAAATGAACAAATAGAGAGAGGCTACTACTGGATGAAATTATTCAGAATTCAAATTGGAGGCTGTAGAATAAATTCTGCCAAAACATGTATTTGATTTATAGTGATTTAAAAATCTAATATTTTTCAAAAGACATGAAGACTCTTTTGTGCAGTCAGTGAACTAATTAAGGACCCATACTTGAGTTATGTTGTCCCTTTTTTTAACTTTTAAATTAAAATTTATTATTATTTTTTATGTATCGAGACAGGGTCTCGCTCTATCATCGAGGCTCGAGCGCAGTGGTGTGATTATAGCTCACTGCAGGCTTGACCTCCTGGGCTCAAGTGATCATTTCCATCTCAGTCTCCTGAGGAGATGGGACTATAGACACACATCACTATACTAGGCTAATTTTCTTTTCACTCATTCTCTTTTATTTAACTTTAAGCAGGGCTTGATCAGAAAGAAGAGCTCAGAGGAGTGAGGCAACACCAACACCAGGGCATACGATTCATCCAAGGCTCCCCCGACACCAGTTCCAGCCCAGATGGGGCTTGAAGTGGCTTGGAGTGCCCTGCCATGCTGGGGCAATGGAAAGCATGAAAGCCAAACCTTAGGACCCGAAGAGTAATATGTCTGCAAAGGCACCATCACTGTTGGGCACCCCCTGCAGACGTACACATAATAGATACATCCCCAGAGATAGTATTTTATTTTATTTTTAGTAGAGACGAGGTCCTGTTATGTTGCTGAAGCTGGTCTTCAACTCCTGAGCTTAGGCAATCCTTCTGCCTTGGCCTCCGAAAGTGCTGGGATTACAGGCATGAGCTACCACACCCAGCCAAGAAAGAAAATAGCTATTTTTCTTCTTTCTGAGCAATGGTCAGCACCAGGGATACGTTTTCCAGACTGGCTGTTCTTCTAGTTCTGAGTATCTCAGCGAGGGAGGCGGTAGGAATGTGTATATGAACATGATGGTACTTGGTGGTAGTGGTGTGTGGTGGTGGATGGTAATAATGTGAGATGGATGGTGGTGGCAGATGATGGAGGTGGTGAGTGGTAGTGGTGTGTGGTGGGTGGTGGTGGTGGTGAATGGTGGTGATGGATGGTTGTGGTGGTGAATGGTGGTGGCGGATGATAGATGGTGGGTGGTGTTGTGTGGTGGTGGGACTGTTGGTGAATGGTGGTGGTAGGTATTGGTATCTGGTGGTGATGGTAGATGGTGCTCATGATGGTGGTGTTTGGTAGTGGTGGATGGTGGTCATGGTGGGTGGTGGTAAGTGGTGATGGTGGATGGTGATGGATGATGGTGAGTGGTGGGTGGTAGGTGGTGAATGGTGGTAGCGGTGGACAGTGGTAGTGGTGGATGGTGGTGGTCGGTGGTGAGTGGTGGTAGTGGTGGTGAATGGGGGTGGTGGTGGTAGGTGGTGGTGGGGGTGGTAGATGGTAGTGGTCATGGTTGGTGGTGTTAGTAGGTGGTAGATGGTGGTGAGATGGTAGTGGTCATGGTGGTGGTGGTGGGTGGTGAGGGGTGGTGATGGTGGTGGATGGTGTTGGGATGGTATTGGTGGATGTTGGGTTATGGTGGTAGATGATGGTGTTGGATAATGGTGGTGGGTGATAGTAGGATGTAATGGTGGTTGATATGATGGGTGGTGGTTGGTGATGTTAGTGGATAGTGGTGGTACTGGTGGATGGTGGTGGTGGATGGTGGTGAACAGTGGTTGATGATGGTGTTGGGTGGTGGGGATGGTGGTGGTGGATATGGGGGATGGTGTGGTGGCCGGTGGTAAGTGGTGGTTGGTAATAAGTTGTGGTCAGTGGGTGAGTAGGTGGTGTGTGGTGGTGTTGGATGGTGGTTGGGGTAGACGGTGGTAGTGGGTGGTAAGTGATGGGTGGTGAACAGTGGTGGTGGTGGGTGGTGGGTGGTGGTGTTGGTGGATGGTGGTAGAGGGTGGATGGTGCTGGGTGGTGGATGATGGTGGTGGGTGGTGGATGGTAGTGGTAATGGTGGTAGGGGAGTGATGAAAACAAGTTTTGCCTGATTTGTTTTCATAGAGAGGAACTCCATTGCAAGGCCTAACACTCCAGCCCTTTCTCATCGTCCCTCGGTCACTCTACTGTAGTGGTCTGGGAGAAGACACTGGCATGTTTGGCTCAGTCCCTTTAGAGTCCTCCATTTGGTGTCTGCATTGGTGTCCAGGTCTCTTCTCTGAAATGAAGTGAAAAGATACTGTCCTTCCAGGGATAGGCCTGAACATTGTTTTGCCAGTGACCAAGACAGTGAGTACATTTAAGCTAGTGATGAACTATTAGTGAGCCCTCCTGCTCACAGATCTAAGCAACATTCTCCAAACTGCTTGACATTGTTATATCCATATATCTGGCTCCCACAACTGGCTCCCTAATACTGGCTTCCAAATCCATATGTATAGAGAGGTGTCATCTATTAGCCCCCAAACCCACAGACATTTCTTCTACCCAGCCCCTCTCATTGCATCCTATTTCTTCCAAGGGATCTCATCTCACTGGATTTGCTCCCACTCTTCCTAGTAATACTCTTATTCCGTCAGGGCAGGTGTTCTGGGCACCACTCACAATAAGAACTTCCATTTGTATAGCACGTTATTTGCAAAGGTTTTAGGCCCTTTTATTATATCACTTGATCATCACAACAGCCCTGTGAAGTAAATGGGGAAGAAATGACACCATTGTGTAAGCACAGAAGGGGTTTAGGAAACTTAACCTGGAACACAAAGCTGGGATGTGGTGGATTTGGTTTGCCATCAAGACTTCCTCTTCTTTTTTTTTCTTTTTTGAGACAGCGTCTTCCTCTGTCACCCAGGCTGGAGTGCAGTGGTACAATCACAGCTCACTGCAACCTCGGCCTCCCAGGTTCAAACAATTCTCCTGCCTGAGCCTCCTGAGTAGCTGGGATTATAGGTGCCCACCACACGCCCGGCTAAGTTTTGTATTTTTAGTAGACATGGGGTTTCATATGTTGGCCAGGCTGGTCTGGAATTCCTGACCTTAAGAAATCCACCTGCCTCGGCCTCCCAAAGTGCTGGCGTGAGCCAATGCACCTGGCCTGCCATCTCTTCTTCTGACTTCAATCATTTCTTCGTTTTGTCCCACTAAGACATGAATGGCAAATAGGACATTCCTTTGAGATAATTGCATTTATTTGAGATAATTGAGGATGCTCAGAATGGTGGTTTCCAGGTCCTGAGGGTTGGGGAATATGGGAAGTTGCTCTCTGATGGGTATAGAGTTTCAGTTATGCGAGACGAAAGAGCTCTGGAGATTGGTTGCACCACAATGTGAATATACTTAACACTACTGAACTGCACACTTAAAAAATCAATTCAGATTGTAAAATCTAAGTTATAGTAATTTTACAATTAAAAATTGAAAAATAATTTTTAAAATGGAGGATGCTTATTACCTGGAAAGAAGTTCTGCATAGTGGTACACAAAAAGATGGTGTATAATATCAACAAGTATAAAACAATCAGGCAGTGTGAACACATGTTGTGTGGCAGGTGGGGGCAGGGAGTTGTAGATATTTTTGAGTCAAAGGACTAGATGGAGGTGAGCCAAAAGTACTTCAGTGCCTATTTCTTGTGTTAGCCACTCCCCGTATAAAAACAAAATAAAACACGAAGAAAATTCTTTCCCTCCTTACACATTTTTCCTGTCACCTTTCACTTCACAGACTATCCAAATCATTGCTATCCAGTATGGGTAATAGACCAATAGCATCAGCATCACCTAGAGCTTATTAGCAATTCAGAGTCTCAGGTCCCACCCCAGACCTCCTGAATTAGAGTTTAACAAGGACACAGGTGATGCCTACGCACCACTGCCGCATACTGCTCTAACAGCTCCTGGTTTCGTTACACCTGCATAGCACTTACTGCGGGTATGTATGTGACAGGCAAACATAGTCACATGCTGCTAGCAAAGAAATGAAAGCATCTGCAAGAAAACAAAATCAGCTATTTTTAGAGCTTTGACTCAAAGGATGTAAAATCAAAGGATGAAGTGAGCATTCCATATCTGAATTGCAACTGCGGTTCTGTTGGCTGAGAATCTGTTGGCAAATCACTTCATTTCACTAGAATTCTGCTTCTTCATTTATAAAATAGAGATGATAATCTCTGCGAGATCTATACCGGGGGTTGACATGAAAGTTCGGTGTGAGAAGAGGATATAAAAACACTCTGAAAGTATGAGATGCTCTCAGAAGTAGAAAAAATAAATAATGTTTGGGTGTGTATAAAAGCTCATGTAAAAAAAACCTTAAACCAATGTGAATAGATTTCATTGAAGTTATGGGTACACGTGTATAGCTATTCTCTATATAGGATGTGTATGTATACATATATACTATATGCACATATATATGTGTGTGTATGTGTGTTTATTCTCTTAAGTGTAGACTAGAAACGAATGACTCTTATCAGTTAAGTTTCTGAAGTACAATATCTTATGTAAGTTCTTGTAAAAAGTAGGAAACTGGTGCCCAAATCCTCTGTGAAATGAAGCAGGTAGAGAGCAATCTATCTGCATTTATTAAACAATGTCACAAAAAACATGGATAACATTGAGAGCCCAGAAGGCACCTCATTTCTAGGATACTGTCGGGGGAAGAACCTCCCTTTATGCTCTACCACTCTCCCGAGTGACAAGAAGAGAAAAGTAAATGCTGGCTCTCGGTGGAGAGAAACATATCATTTACTGGTTGAGAGCGCACACACAGCCTTTGAAGTCAAGGAGACCCAGAAGCAAAGCCCGATTCCTCTTCAGCTGTGTGACCTTGGCCAAGTTACCACCCAGCTGCATTTATTTCACCTCTGTGAAATGAGGGCAATAAAATACTGACCTTACTATGAGAGTTAACTGACACAATATGTTAGATGGTTCGTATGATGCCAATATATAATAAACCCCCATTATGTGTTAGCTATTATTATTATCATGATCATCCACTTGAAAGAATGTGGTTTGTATGTCAACCCCTTTTATTCAAAGGGTACAGTTGGGGGAAAGGAGCATATTGAAAGAAATTCTGCACACACAAAACCTCCTGGTGAAGGTGAGTGAGGATGAGAAAACAGCCAGCACAGAGCAGAGAGTAAGGTTCAATGTTAAATTGTCACCATACTGTCAACTTGCCTCTTGACAAGCATATGGACTTAACACAAAGGCTTACAACACTGTCAAGAGAGCGCAACAGATAAGGATAGTCTTTTCCACATTCCCCAAGGGATCTGATAGTCAAAGCAAGGCTGTACCTTCCCTGTCTTCTTGAATTGTTTCCGCTCTTCCACTGTGGTGAGGTAGTTCACAGCTGCGTACTCAATGACTGACAGGAACACGAAGAAGGAGCTGACCCACAGGTACACATCCACAGCCTTGAGGTAGGACACCTGGGGCATGGAGGCGCTCACGGCAGTGATGATCGTGGACATGGTCAGCACTGTGGTGATTCCTGCCATTGGAGAATAGTGGCAAGCTCAGTGATATAGACATTCATTTCCAGGATCTGGTGCTGAATCACACCAGGGGATGCATTTCTAGAACAATATCAACCTGGTGATCCAAGAGGACGGAAGGTGTGTGCATGTTGACCAAGTACATATCTTGAGCCTAAACAAACACTCTTATTGGATTTTTCTTTCTGTCTCTTTTTCTTGCCCTCACCCTATTGTCCAGAAGGTTTGCTTTACTCCATTTAAGCCTTCACAGAAATCAGAGTCTGACATTTCTGTTTTCCACCCTCAGAGGGGCCTCTTCTAAGCAGGCCAGAAAGGTAAACATGTATTCAATTAAAAAAAAATTCTAAAATCATTTCCTCTAACCTTTCCCATTCTTTCACAATTTTTACTGTTCATAACCTGTCTTTATGTCTACCTTTAATATTTCATGCTTCCCTTTCCTTCTATTCCCTTTTCCCTTTCTGCTACTTTCCCTCTTCCCTTTCCTTTTTTCCCCTATTCCTTTTACTTCTTTGTTCTCTGGCATGATCATCAGAGGTAAGAAGATCAAGGTTCTGGGGAAAATGGAGAAAGAAGTGACTCTGAGATTTCCTTAATAAAATGCTGGCCATGGGGAGGGCCATTCAATATCTACACTAATTTCTCAGAGGGATATTGCGAGAGTACCGCCTGGAGAGAAAGCATACTATTGTAAATATTTGAAATGTACACTGGCCGGCATGGTTTTATTTCTTAATTTCCCACCAGGGAGGTGCAAATGGAATCCTTAATGATTTTTGTAAGTTGTGAGGACATTGTAATGTCAACAGACAGAGTCCCAAACAGCAGGAAGAGCACTGTGATTTACTCCTAAATGTACAGCCACAGCATGTGGACTGCTTTCACCAACACCTTTCTATCTTTTCGGTAATAATTCTGTTAGGCTCTCATCTGAGACAGTCCCATATCAAACACAATGACAATTCTATAGAGCCATTCTATTTCAAATACGGTTTTTAGTTTGTATGATCAAGATCAACACAACTTGGCAATTTGACAGTACCATGGGAGGACTTGGAATCTCACCTTCACACTAATTTGAACTCCAGAATAAGAAACCTAAATGCTATTGTAGCTCTTAACATTGAACACAGGCCACTGTCTCATCAAGTCCCAGGTTTCCCCCAACAATGGTATTATCAACAATCTGCATATCAGAGGGTTCTGTCTGTATTCTCCAGCTCTGAAACATACTGGCTACATAAACATGAAGCAAAGAATGAACATGAAGCATGGAATTTTATTAAGCATGGAATATTTATTAACATTACAGATATAGCTGAAGCCAAGATTATTAAATAAAACCTACTTACTTTTATCAAATATTTGCCTACCACACATCTAGGTAAATAATTAGCCACACATAGCAGAAACGAAACAGGAGCCGAGAGTGCCTAAGGGATTACCCCATATTTTGTCAGAGCAGAATGCAAATTCTGTTCAGAGTGCAGAATTATGCCAAGAGGCACAAAGAAGGCACTGCGCCTTTACTGTGCCATACTGACATTTTCAGTATGCCAATTTCTTACTCTCTTCAACATTTCACTGGTAGGAAGTGAAGGAATCATGAACTAATATTCCCACTTAGGTGCTAACCTCATTAGTTCAAACTTTTTGTTTGTTTGTTTGTTTGTTTTGTTTTTTGAGATGGAGTTTTGCTCTTGTCCCCCAGGCTGGCAAGCAGTGGCACGATCTCGGCTTACCGCAACCTCTGTCTCCTGCGTTCAAGTGATTCTCCTGCCTCAGCCTCCTGAGTAGCTGGGATTACAGGCATGCACCACCACCCTGGCTTATTTTGTATTTTTAGTAGAAAGGGGGTTTCTCCATGTTGATTAGGCTGGTCTCAAACTCAAACCTCAGGTGATCTGCCCGCTTTGGCCTCCCAAAGTGCTGGGATTACAGGCGTCAGCCACTGTGCCCAGCTAAAAAATTTTTAATGTCTTCTTTTATTGTTTTTTTAAGATACAAATGATAGAACTTATTATTTTTTCAATGTGCAGTAATATGGAGCTTAGTGGACAAAATAAGGATTTTGGACAAACACACAAATGTGTATGCCTGACTGGTCTCATCATGTACTTGAAATTGATAACTACTGGGCAAATAAAAAGGAATTGCACTATCTATATTTGCCAGAAAGCAATAAACTATTAATCATTTTCTTTAAAGGTTGCTTAATCCAACTAATTTACAATAGCCTTAGTTAGTTTAAAACCAGCATTCTAGATATTCCTTTTTTAAGACGAATAAAAAAAAAAAAAAAGAATTAGAGTGGAGAGGAGGGATTGTTGGGTAGGAGGAGTGAATGATGAGCAAACTGAGATGTAAATTCCTAAAGCAATAGAACCTGAAGTCAGGAGTATTATAGCCACATTAAATACACTTATTATGTCTTGAGCCACCCCTCAAAAATACATTAATCTTGACAAATAGTATTCCTTCCAAACCCATTAAAGTTAACATCCCAATAAAGGAGTTTTGAATTATACGAAGCAACCATTTAGTCAAAGGAAGGTCATGTGTTTGGATTAGCAAATCATCTTCCCCGCTACTGATGTTGCTACGCATAGTTAGGAAAGTGTTATTAGAAAATATTTAGTCTGACCCTTTGACTCAGTTCCCCTGGGCTCTTGCAGCCTCACCCTATCAACTTTTAAAGACATGCATGGGGACTTAAGAAACCTTTAGTCTGGGGAGAATCATGAATCTGCCAGTTTCATTGGCTATTTTTAGCCATGCATGGTGGAGAGTTTTGTTGATGGGTATGAGAGCAGTAGAGCAGACAGGCATCACTTATGAAACCACTGAGTTTGTTCACCCCCTCACTAACTGTGTTGCAGGTAGTTGTTTTGAAGGGAGGGGGGTGTTTATATTCACCTTCAAGTGAGTAAAAATATTTTTCATATAGGCCTAGGCAGAAAGAAAATACTACATGATATGAAGGAAAGGAAGGGGGCTTGACATTCTAACATTTCTCTATGACCAGAAACTGACAGCCATTTTCTCATGAAGGTGGTGCAAGAGTACAGATAACTGTCATTAGAAATTCTCATAAGGGGGGGGAGCAAGATGGCCGAATAGGAACAGCTCCAGTCTCCAACTCCCAGCGCGAGCGACACAGAAGACAGATGATTTCTGCATTTTCAACTGAGGTACTGGGTTTATCTCACTAGGGAGTGCCTGACAATCAGTGCTGGTCAGCTGCTGCAGCCCGACCAGCGAGAGCTGAAGCAGGGGGAGGCATCGCCTCGCCTGGGAAGCCAAGGGGGAAGGGACTCCCTTTTCCTAGCCAGGGGAACTCAGACACACAACACCTGGAAAATCGGGTAACTCCCACTGCAATACTGTGCTCTACCAAGGATCTTAGCAAACGGGCACACCAGGAGACTGCATCCCACACCTGCCCGGGAGGGTCCCACGCCCACAGAGCCTCCCTCATTGCTAGCACAGCAGTCTACGATCTCCCGGCAAGGCAGCAGCGAGGCTGGGGGAGGGGCGCCCGCCATTGCTGAGGCTTAAGTAGATAAACAAAGCGGCTGGGAAGCTCCAACTGGGTGGAGCTCACAGCAGCTCAAGGAGTCCTGCCTGTCTCTGTAGACTCCACCTCTGGGGACAGGGCACAGCTAAACAACAACAACAACAACAACAAAAAGCAGCTGAAACCTCTGCAAATGCAAACGACTCTGTCCGACAGCTTTGAAGAGAGCAGTGGATCTCCCAACACGGAGGTTGAGATCTGAGAAGGGACAGACTGCCTGCTCAAGTGGGTCCCTGACCCCTGAGTAGCCTAACTGGGAGACATCCCCCACTAGGGGCAGACCGACACCCCACACCTCACACGGTGGAGTACACCCCTGAAAGGAAGCTTCCAAAGCAAGAATCAGACAGGTATACTCGCTGTTCAGCAATATTCTATCTTCTGCAGCCTCTGCTGCTGATACCCAGGCAAACAGGGTCTGGAGTGGACCTTAAGCAATATCCAACAGACCTACAGCTGAGGGTCCTGACTGTTAGAAGGAAAACTAACAAACAGGAAGGACACCCACACCAAAACCCCATCAGTACGTCACCATCATCAAAGACCAGAGGCAGATAAAACCACAAAGATGGGGAAAAAGCAGGGCAGAAAAGCTGGAAATTCAAAAAATAAGAGCGCATCACCCCCTGCAAAGGAAGGCAACTCATCGCCAGCAACGGATCAAAGCTGGACGGAGAATGACTTTGACGAGTTGAGAGAAGAAGGCTCCAGTCCATCAAACTCCTCAGAGCTAAAGGAGGAATTACGTACCCAGCACAAAGAAACTAAAAATCTTGAAAAAAGAGTGGAAGAATTGATAACTAGAATAATTAATGCAGAGAAGGCCATAAACGAATAGACAGAGATGAAAACCATGACACGAGAAATACGAGACAAATGCACAAGCTTCAGTAACCAACTCAATCAACTGGAAGAAAGAGTATCAGCGATTGAGGATCAAATGAATGAAATGAAGCGAGAAGAGAAACCTAAAGAAAAAAGAGAAAGAAATGAACAAAGCCTGTAAGAAGTATGAGATTATGTAAAAAGACCAAATCTACGTCTGATTGGGGTGCCTGAATGTGAGGGGGAAAATGGAACCAAGTTGGAAAACACTCTTCAGGATATCATCCAGGAGAATTTCCCCAACCTAGTAGGGCAGGCCAACATTCAAATTCAGGAAATACAGAGAACGCCACAAAGATACTCCTCGAGAAGAGCAACTCCAAGACACATAATTGCCAGATTTACCAAAGTTGAAATGAAGGAAAAAATCTTAAGGGCAGCCAGAGAGAAAGGTTGGGTTACCCACAAAGGGAAGCGCATCAGACTAACAGCAGATCTCTCGGCAGAAACTCTCCAAGCCAGAAGAGAGTGGGGGCCAATATTCAACATTCTTAAAGAAAAGAATTTTCAACCCAGAATTTCATATCCAGC